ACAACACACTAGTGCACACCAGAAATTATACCCCTCTAGTACGAACTCAAGCACTGTGAAGAAACCTGGACACAACTGTAGATAGAAAAGATTCTGTTAAAGTGGCCTTTTCCCCCATCCAACCATTCCTTGTATTTTTTATTCAGGAATATTGCCATATATCTTTCTCAACAGACAACAAGTACCAGTCTATACTGGAAATTATAACTCCCAGCCATACATTTACTGCAACATCTTGACAGGCTGTTATCTTGTGGTACAGAACATCCAAATTTTCCTGTACCTCTCACCTGTATGTATTCTCAAATGAACTTTTAAGTGATGTGACGTTCTGAAAGTTTTTCCACAATAGGGACAGTCTTTCATGGCAGAACCAAGGCTTCTGTCTCTCAGTAAAGCTGGCTGCTGGACTCCTACAGATCTCCCAGCTTCTTCTCCGATGTCTGAAACACAGAAATGTTCTCACATCACTTCAGCACATGTCAGAAGTTGTTCTCGCTGAAACTGCTAACACAACACAAAGTTAAACATGTCAATACTACACCTGTCTATTTCATTCTTTAAATCTGACAGAATGCTGACAATTCATGCATTTTCTTGTTATTCTCTTAAATTATTTCATCTTCCCTAATGTCATTTTAAACAGCATATGGTACCTTTATATTGAACTGAATTATACAAGAAAGGAAACAGCTGTGTCAGCAGCTGGTTTGATTTCTTCTTTGCTCAGTTGCTATTAATTTTTTTTCCAAAAAAAGTTTCAAAAAGTTGTTTTGTTAAATATGGTCAATGTATAATTATTATTGAGCATTTAAATGTGAAAAGTTTGAATTAAAATATCAAAAATTAAAAAGAACAACAATACAGTTGTGATGATATTGGGGAAGACTTCAGAAGTGATACTGCCTGTGTTTTTACAGACAAATTCAACAGATAATACCATCTTTCTAACACAATAGTCCATCGTTTGTGGCCTACCCGACTGACCTAATGTCAGGGAAAGCCAATGAAAAAGCAAGCCAGGTAAGGGGAACTTTCTTTTCCACTCTCTTTTACATTTCTATATATGGCTGAATGCACACTGTACATCTTACTGCATAGCTGCTGTGTCTAATATGACAGCACGTAGACCTTCCAATTAAAAACTTTTCTCGGGCATTTTGAACAATATGACTATATCACTGTTCAAGCATGATCTAAGCAAGTTACAGGATAAGAATAGGACTGACATAATTACAAAAAGGTAGAGTGTATTTAAAAGGTAATTAAAACCAATCTTATATCTCAAATATTACTGCAATATTTATGAAGATTTGCCATGTAATATTTAGCATACATCAGTACAAAACCAGAGAAAATAGAATAAATATAGAACATTTTAAATGGAACAATATTGTCACATTATAGGGGCAGAATACATAAAGGTACATTTTTAGTGTTGTATGAGGCAGTTAAGCTGTGCAACTCCATTTGATAATAACAGGAAACAAATAGTTAAATCTCTGTGTATAGCCTTGATATTTTTCCCCATTAAGTATTGATTAAAATTGTCCCATCCTCAGCTATTTGTTATGTAACCAATGCTATTAAAAGATGGAATGCAATTTATACAGAGTTGGTTTTTATACAGAAATGATAGGACATAACAAAAAATACTTAACATTTGACTAAAGAAAAAAAAACTTTCATTCAGTAGCACAGACCCCAATACTCCATTACAGAACAAGATAACAGTAAAAATGGTAAGTAAATACCGTATAATGCACACTGTCGCTATTTTGATCAAGGCTGGGGAGTTATGAAAATACAAGAGCAAGACTGACAGAACAGCTAGAGTGATGTGTGAACTTGTGAATGCAGAAAAGTCTTAAGAGTCAGATTATTTTACACACACACACACACACACACACACACACACACACACACACACACACAAGCTCTTACCTAACAAAGTTGCAAGTAATATTAAACTCTAATAACTGGATAACAGAAATCGGAAGTACTAATGAACCATAAACAGAAGAATAGTTTCTTTGTCGAAATGAAAATATTTCTATGGCTGAAATATCTGTAAATAAAAGGACATCAGGAACCCGCTTTGCCACTCAGCTTTGTAATGGTAACTTTTTAAAAAGTAAAAAAAAAGGTCTAATTTTCTAAAACAAATACATTCCTTGACTAATATTCTTGGAAAGTTCTTAGTTCTATTTGAAATACTGCAGTAAAAGCACAATATTTAAGTTAGAAGGCTGGATATTGACATTTTGAATTATTCACAGGTATTTAAAAGTAATATAATTCAGAGTATATTCTGTCTTCCAAGATAAAGACATACATAGATATGTGTAAACCTATATTTCTGAATTGCCCAAGGAATTCTTATTTTTCACTGTTTGTTTGTCCAAGTGTTCAACAAAAGAGTCTTACGAGATAAGGTCCAAAACTGCTTTAGAGAAAAGCATTTCAGAGACTGTGAAATGCAAAATACTACATGTCTGATAACAATGAAAATAAAAATTCTAAAAACACTATGTAAGCATTATAGATAAATATATAGATAAAGTTAACAAACCACTCAGGATAAAATTACACAATAAGAGTACTAGTTATGTTTTACTATATGTCGCAGTAAATGATGGTCTGTTATCTATTTCCCTTTTATCTTTCTATCTAGAATATGTGTGGCCCAATAAAAAAAGAATAAATTTGTAAGATAAACAGCTCTCTTTGCAGATTTAAGAGTCTTATTTTCACTTTACACAAAACTGAATTTTTTGAGGCTGTGAGGCTATGGAGTTTACCCTTTACTAATCCCTCTGAAAAAGCAAACTGAAAACAACAATGAAGCAGAGAAAGATGTGGGTGGTCTAAAGAGTTTCTTTTAATTTAAGTAGACATACAGTAGATAGCGCTAAAGGCTTTACTCCAATGGGGCCTTACCTATAAGAACATTTTCTTCCCACAGTGAACACATTCCTAAGACTTTAAAGCTGTATTGAGGGCTTCTCTTCTGAATTCTTAGCTTTCAGAACCCACCGAAGTGCTGGAGACCACTGCTACCTGAATTACATCTAACTCTTTTTAGTTCAGGTCAGTGAAAATGTACATTCATGGCTGCTGTCTGACCTTCTCAGATCCTACCTCATATCTGTCCTTTCACTAAGACCTGAATCAGCAAAACATTCCCATTCATCAAAGTACTTATACAGATGCTTAATTAAAAGCATGTTCTTAAATTCCATTTGATCTGATATCTGATAAGTTACATTGATTGGTTTAAAACAACTAACAGAGGGTTGATAGAAAAAATAGCTTATATGTATGAACTGCAAAAAAAGAATAAGAAATCTTTAAGATAAGAGAACATTGCCAGCTGTGCAGGGTTGTGCCAGTCAATCTGTGGGAAAAATTTGCCCTACCAAATCTATTCCATTTGGAGAGAGGAAAAAGAATGGTACTCATGACAACTGTGGTTCTGTATGACGTCATGTCTACCTGGATTCCGCTTCCCATGTGCATGTGCCTCATGCACATAAGATCAGACATTTTTTGCAGAGGACTGTCTATTGGGACAGATATCCTGTGCCATGGATATCTTCAACTCAAAGACATAAAGGCCAGAGAGGGCCCAGTTTTCCCCCAGTTACTTCACCAATGCAAAATCCTGTAGCTATAGGACTCCATACAAGTGGGGAAGGAGAGCAAGTTATGAAATGCATGTGGACAAAAAGTCTCAAAAAAACAGGTATTGCAGAGTTACTAACCATTCTTTCTTCACTGAATAATTGTCCAGAGGGATTCCACTTCCACTAATAAGGGGCACTTCATAGTTGGGCAGAAGGTGCTAGGAGTCCTATTTAAACAAGGATTGCAGGACAGCCCTATCAAAGCTCTATCAAGGTATTTGACCTTGAAGCTTCAGCTATGGAATAGTGCTTGGTAAAAGAATGTATGAATTCTACACTTTGGGTTACGAAAAGAATGGATTTTTTTCTATTGCTCTTGAGCTCCACTGTAGTAATGACTCGTAATATCATGTGAATCAACCTGGCCACCTTCTGGGGAGATGTTCCCCAAATCAGCAATCCTCCAGGTGTGAATATACCTAAATGCAGTATCTTTTTAACTGGGTTCTGATGATCAATAGGCAATGAGTGAATTTTTTTTGGTGTCATGAAAAGACCCAAGGACAGGATCCTTCATGGGTGATAAGAGTGCCCTAATATAAACCTGAAGCATTTTCTGTATGAACAGATGAGAGTGGTATCCTGAACTCTGAGACTCGCAAATTAACCGTGAGGATCTAATAAGGGCATAACTGAAACCAGGACTAACATCTTAACTTTGAAACAATGGATGAATCTATTGAGGTATCTCAAGTCTATAATCAGATGACAACCCTGCTTTCTCTTTGGGATTAAAAAAGTAATGAGTAGATACCCATGCCTTTGAATTCTAGGTAGATCTCTTCCACTGCTCCGAATCACAGAAGGAAATCTCCTATTTTAACAGTAGTTTGTGAGGGGGGAACACTCAAAAAGGACAGGGAAGAAGGGTGGAAGGAAGTGGAAGGGATTGAAATTGGATGGAATGTCCTCTTGTTTATACTTTTCAAGAACCACTGGTTCGAGATCTTGGTCCAAGTCTCCTAAAATAAAAATGGTGATTGACAAAAGCAGGGGGAAAGGGAAATAGACCCTTAGATGGTTCTGATTTGCTCTCAAAAATGGCATTAAACCTTTTAAAAGGCAGATGGAAAGTGTGAAGCAGAGGAGGATGAGGCAGAGGGCCTCCTGTGTTAGAAGTTGTGTTTCTTTCTCAATGATTCCTACACTGTATTATAGTAATAAGCGGTAAAGGGCCTTTGGCTGATAAAGCTTTCAGATTTGGCCTTCTTCCTCCTTGTGTCTGAAATGTATGCACCCAGTGAGTAAAGAACAGTTCTCAAATCCTTTAAATGACTATAGGGCTTCATTTGTTCATGCACTAAGCAGTTCAGAACCTTCCAATGGGATACCCTCAAGGGTCATTTAGGAACAACTTCAATATTCCACAAGAATGAAGCCATGAAGTTCTGTGGGTTACAATGGAAGTGATTATGGAACTTGCTGCCATCTCAGAAATGTCTAGAGCACCCTGAAGAGATAAATCAGGCTTCTATTTGTCTTCCAGACATCTGATATTTTAGTTTCTCCCTAGTGTGGCAATGGCCCCTCTTACCCAGGACACTGCTTGGACCAGTATCTTGCCCTTTCCCCCAGGGATTGGGGCTTGCTGCGGGTATCAGTGGTAGGGAGCCCAGACACCCCTCCTAGGACTCCCTCCCCTGATATTTCTGCACTGAATTTAGTATGACTGACTCTCAAACTTTTGCTCTCTGTCTCTCCTATACCTCTCCTGCTGTCCTCTCTCACCCTCCCACCTTCCAACTGTGGAGGCTTTT